TTGCTACATTAGGCAAATCTGCTGCACAAGACCTCTTTAAAGTGTTCAAGAGCAAAGATATCAGTTTGAGGACTAAGGTGTGCTGGAACCCAGTCATGGTATTTTCAATAATCTAATATGCATGAGAAAGTTGGACAGTGAATAAGGAAGACCATAGAAGAATGGATGCTTTTGAGTTGTGGTGTTGGAGATGAATGCAGAACGTGCCAGAAAAACCAGAGAGTCTGTCTTGGAAGAAGGACAGCCAGAATACTCCTTAGAAGCAAAGATGGTGAGACTTTGGACATGTTGTCAGGAGTGACCAGTCCCTGGAGAAGGACATCATGCTTGGTAGAATGGAGGGTCAGTGAGAAAGAGGAGGACCGCCAACAAGATGGGCTGGCACAGTGGCATCAGCAGTGGGCTCCAGAGTGGTGCAGAATTGGGGAGCATTTGCCCTGCTATGCATACAGTTGCTCGCTGTGAGTCAGTTAACAGTTAACAACTTTAAAGGGACAAACACCCAGGGCAGCAAGAGATTTCAACAATAGTCAGGTTCAAGGAGGTGTGTCCATACCCTCTGTGGGGCCGGGGGACTCACAGGCCATGGGGGCCAGTGTGGTGGGGCTGAGAGGTAGCAGGCCCGGAGGCCCCAGCCCTGTAGTTCTCCTCCCGTCATAAGATATCCCACCTCCCCACCCCTGGGCCCTGGGATCCCGCAGGCGCCTCACCCAGCATGTTGGCAGACTCAATCATGTTGGTGTCCAAATCAGTCCAATAGAGGCGCTGGTCAGCGTAGTCAATGGTCAGGTCGTTGGCCCGGCCAACTTTGTCCACCAGCGTCATGCAGCTGGTCCCATCCATAAACGCCCGCACGATCCTTGGTTTACCGCTCCACTCAGTCCAGTAGATGTAGCTGGAACAGAACCAGGTACAGAATGAAAACCAACTGATTTGGCTGGCCGCTGTGCCAGTTCCCAGAGGTACCCTCCCCCAGAAATCCCACCGCCACCTAGTCAAGTCCAACTCAACACCTAGCTGATCAGAACCCAGAGGACAGAGTAAACTACTCCTCATGGTTGCTGCCTGCTAAAACTGTAAATCTTTGTGGAAGAAGTCTGCCTCGTCTTTCTCCCACAGAACGGCTGGTGGATTTGAACCACCGACTTTGTGGTTAGCAGTGTAACACCCGATGCCACAAGGCCTTCTTGAAATAGCCTCCAAGCCTTGGGGCTTCCCCCAGACAGTGGTCTTTGTGATTCAGGCTGGGAGCTGGGTCCAAATGACCTTCAATCTTCCACATAGGTGCTGGACACGGAGTTTGGTCACATGAACAATGATTCAGTCAAACAGACCCGAGGCTGGAGTGTGCTTCCGGTTGTCGCTGTCCTGCTGACTTCATGTCTCAGTGTCCCATTTTGGTAACCTCACAAGATTTCAAACTTTTTCATTACGCTAGACAACTGTTGTTGTTAAGTGCTGTTGAGCCAATTGCAACACATAGCAAGCCTATATAGAGTTTCCAAGGAATGGCTGGTGGGTTTGAACCACCAACCTTGCAGTTAGCAATCTGATGTGTAACCCATAGTGCCACCCACTGCTGCCGCTGCCGCGTGCCACTCAGTTGGGTTTTGACTCATAGGGACCCTGTGAGTCAAAGGCTATGAATATTTACGGAAGCAGAAAACCTCATCTTTCTCCCAGGAAGTGGCCAGTGGATTTGAACTGCTGACCTTGCCAAAACATTCCCGTGACTGGCTTTATTGAAGCGGTCTGGAACCCGCACCGCAAGGAGGTGTGTCTGTGAGTTGTGTTTGTGCTGGCAGCCTTGGACCTCAGTACAACAGTTTGGCACGGTGAGCAGGTTGTCACTGAATTAACAACAGCCCTTACCCTTGGGTGGGATCCAGAGCCAGTGACCTGGGGTTGTCCAAGTCTCTCCAGATGAGGACCTGTCGGAACTGCCCATCCAGCCGGGCCACTTCAATTCTGTTGGTCCCAGTGTCTGCCCAGTAGAGGTTCTTGCCCATCCAGTCAACAGCCATGCCTTCTGGGTAGTCTAGGCCAAACTCGATCACATGTTCCACCGAGCTCCCATTCATGAAGGCTCGGCTGATGGTCTGGGGGAGACAGGAAGGAAAGAAACGGCATTGAAAAAACACCTCATGCTAGGGACGTGAGGGACGGGCAACTTAGACATTGGCTACCTAAAATGAGGGGGCGATAAAGGCACGAAGTGACCGGCTTACAAGGTTTTAAGCGGGAGTTTAGTTTAAGAGTGTGTGGGGAATGATAGAGTCCTCACTGAATAGCTTTCATCTTGTCTAGATGGGTCTGGTAAAAGGAGATGGGGATAAGAATCTTATTTATTCAATAATGAGCAATTGTTATCAACTGCCACAATGTAAACGTAGAAGTTTTGTAATAAAAACGAGGGAGCAGTTAATCTTACATTCCAGAAACAGAGGGTCCTAGGACCATCAAGGGAGAAGAGCATGAGCAGAATGTGGGACCCTATCCAGAGAAACAGCGACACCAGAGAGGGAAGAAGAGATGAGGGCATGGAGAGAGGGAGCAGCTGAGGACTCTGGTCTCATGGAAAGAGAGGGACTGGGTACTGGTGGCCAGGAGGCAGGCTTGCAGAATGTTCCTTTTGGTTGTGTAAATGATTATATATTGTTGAGTGTTTTTGTGTACATCCCATTCCCCCTAAAAAAAAACAAAAACAGAGGAAATTAAAGCAAATACTGTTGAATGATGATACATTGTTGTTGTTGTTGTTGTTATGTGCCGTGGAGTCAGTTCTGACTCATAACAACCCTGTACAGGGTTTCCGAGGCTGTAAATCTTTACAGGAACAGAAAGCCTCATCTTTCTCCTGTGAACAGCTGGCAGAGTTTCAACCTGCTGACCTTAAAGGTTCGCAGCCCGATTCGTAACCACTACGCTACCAGAGCTCCTTAGCATTGAGGGGACTGTAATCATAGCAAAGAAACGATGGTGTAAAACCGATGTTCTCCCATGAGAACTATCACTTAATTCAGAATCAAAACTTACAAAAAAACCTCACGCATGTCTAACTCTGAGATGCTTAACGACCTGGAGTTACCCAGCATTCAAGGGGTTTAAGACTCATATGTGAAACTTGGCTGAGTACAGAAAACAGTCAGGCAGTGTACACGTCACAAGCTTCCAAAACACGGGGGCCCCTCACCCAGTCCTCTCTCCTGAAGCTTTAACTTGAGGACTTGACGGAACACAAAAGATAGGGAACTACTGGAAAAACAAAAAGGGCTGAACACAGAGGTGTCTATCACTGTGGGCTTGCTCAGGATTGGGAAAACTGCAAACACCAGAACATTTACATGAAGGATACGGTGAAATAGAATGGGGCTGTGGGGAAGTATATTTTATAGGTTCCTGGTGCAGTACGCTGGCCTGCTAACCACAAGGTTGGTGGTTCAAACTCTCCAGTCGCTCCTCGGAAACTCTATATAGGGTCACTCCAAGTGACTGAACAGCACTTTTAACTACAGAATATTTTACACATAAAAAAAAAAAAAAAAAGGATGTTAAATGTTAAGATTGTTTTAAAAAAGTCTTGTTACAATGCTAAGTGAAAACAAGACAGAAAGGCACAGAATTGAGTGCAGAAGTTAACTATGACTTTATTTCCTACTTAGTGTAGAAATAAAGACTTAGAGGAAATACACTGAAATGTCTGCAGTAGCTGATTCTGGCTGATGCGGTTATGGACCATTTTTATATTCTTCTCCATCGCTCTCAGTATATTTGCCATTTTCTATAATGAATCCTATTACTATTTTTGGTTGTTGACAAGTCGATTGTGACTCACAGAACCCCACCCCCCTGACAGAGTACAACCATCCAGCCATAGGCTGTAATCTTTACGGGGGAAAGCCCTGGTGTGGCGTTGTGGGTTAACGAGCTGGACTGCAAAGTCGGTGTGATCAGCAAGGTGGGCGGTTTAAGCTCATCCGCCACTCTTCAGAAGCCCTATACGGGATCCCTATGGGTCGGATCCAACTTGACGGCACTTAACACCACCAATCTTTACAGGAGGAGATTGCCAGGTCTTTATCCTGCGGAACTTCTGGGTGGGTTTGAACCACCAACCTTCTGCTTAGTAGCCGAATGCTTAACAATTGCAACATCAGGACTCCAACAATGAACCCTCATGACTTTTAAAATCAGAAAACTCTTTAGAAGATGAATCGGTCTTTCCCAGTATTTACCTAGCGTGCTGGTTTTTGAACTGTGAATAAAGAGATGTCCATTTATAACTAACGTTTCACATGGCGACAGTACTCCAGAAAAGCCCACTGTGTCTGCTAATTATAATCGTGCCTATTTGTCTATAAAGGAGCTGGAAGCGAGTTCTAATACGGACACATTGTTTTCATTGCACTCCACTTTATTGCTTTCTGCAGAAACTGTGTGGGTTTTTGGTTTGTTGTTTTTTAGCACACATTGAAGTTGTGTGGCACCCTGGCCTCGAGGAAGTCTACTGGCACTGTTTTTCCAAGTGTGTGTGCTCTCTTCACGTCTGTGTCACACTCTGGTCCTTCTCACAAGATTTCAAACTCGGTCCCACTTCACAGACAACACACAAGGCCAACATCATTTTCAGAAGCACTAGGAAACCAAAGCATTTGTGTGGTCTCGTCTTAGTGTCCTGGTGGTCTGGACCCAAACCACCAGTATCTGGAGTTCTGCTTGTCAATAATTGTTGAGTCGGTTTAGACTCATAGAGACCCCGTATAGGGTTCCTAAGGAGTGGCTGGTGGGTTTGAACCGCCGACCTTGTGGTGACCAGTCCAGTGCTGCTCCGAAGTGCCACACCAGGACCGTGAAGTCAGGAGGGGTCTCAGAAGGAGCCTATGTACATACCTTCAGGCTGACGTCCGTCCAGTAGATGTGATTGCTGGACACATCAAAGTCCAGCGCTGAGGCCTCCTTGACGCCCGTGAGCGGGATGGCCACGTCATTGTTGGTGGTCTCCAGGGAGATCCTGTGGATAGCGGCTCTGCTCGTGAACACCAGGAAGGCCTCGGGGACGATGCACGTCTTCAGGTCACTGAGGAGTTCCAGGCCCATGGGGCAGCCGCACTTGGTGGCGTGGGGTGTGAAGAAGCAGAGGTGACTGCAGCCCCCATTCCCGTCTGCACAGGGGTTGGTTCCTAGAAGGAGACACACAGGTTCTAAATGCCAACGGCCCAGCCAGCAGAGGGGGTGAACGGACTCCTGGTCGTGTGTGGTTTCCTTCCAGCTGGCTGTCACCTGAGAACAGTAGGAGAGGGTGGAAGCAAGTCCCCAATGAAGGTCCTTCTCCCCAGCACATTCAAGGGGGGGGCAATAGTAACAACATCTGGCTCTGGCTGGCCTTGCCTTGTGCCAAGCATGGTCTAAGAGCTTAAGAGACAGATACTCTCATCTTGACAGAGTTTAAAAACAGGTCAGCAACCGGGGGCTTAAAAAAGCTCATGAGTGGGCATCTAAGAGTAAAGAAGACTGGGGGGGGAAATCAAAGAAATGTAGACACAACTAGTCCAAAGGGTTGCTGGGCCTCTCAGATCTCAGCCTGTATGACTGTGAGACCAGAACTAGATGGTGTCCAGCTTCCAGTACCCACCGCCCTGTAAGGGACCACATTAGAAGGTTCTGGAGTGAGTACGAGAAAACTGTATAACAAAATTCAAAAACATTAAAAAAAAAAAAACCCCAGGCTTACTGATGTGAGACAGACTGGTAGGACTCCTCAGACTGTAGCCCTGAGACATTTTTCAAGGCTGGAACTGAACTCACCCCTCCGTGGTTCAGCTTTCACCCAGAAAGGCCTATAGAAGTGAGCAGGAAACCAGGCAGGTACTCAGACCTTACAACAATCGACCCTACGAGATCCCAACGGCTGCGTCTGCCCAGGGCGAAGGCTCAGAAGCCGGAAGGGAAGAAGGAGAAATGGAAACCTGAAACCCAGGGAGTAAATGGGAAGAGTGCAAGAACACTGTAAGACTGCAATCCGAGAGTCATGATTAAAAACATGACTGACTATAACTGATTGTTGTTGTTGTTGTTAAGTGCCGTCGAGTCGGTCCCGACCCATAGCGACCCTGTACAGGGTTTCCGAGGGTGTAAATCCTTACGGGAGTAGAAAGCCTCATCTTTCTCCC